TTCTTGTGGTGTCTGGAAGTAACACTTCTTGCTGAGCCACTGGATAGCTCTATGTCAGATTGTTTAGGCGTTCTTACCTTGTCTCTTCTTTTCTGGTGAACCTTGAACTCTTTGTTCGTCCCATGAGCTTCCTAATTTAAGCCATGTCTCTGCACTTCCAGTTTGATAGAGTATTGTGCTCTCTTCAGCCAACATATCGCTTTTGTCATCCCTGTTGTCATCCATATCTTTACTACCACTCAATACCGACCCTTGGCTTGTTCCTCAACTATGCTTCTTCTTCTTCCTTCTCCTCCTCCTTCTCCTCTTCTTCCTGCTCCTCCTCCTATTCTTCCTCCTCCTCCTCTTCTTCCTTCTTCCTCTCCTCCTCCTTTTCTTCTTCCTTTTTCTTCCTCCTCCTCTTCTTCTTCCTTCTTCCCCTTTCTCCTCCTCTCTTTCTTCTTCCTGCTCCTCCTCCTCTTCTTCTTCTTCTTCCTCCTCTTCTTCCTGCTCCTCCTCCTCTTCTTCCTCCTCTTCTTCCTGCTCCTCCTCTTTTTCTTGCTGCTTCTCCTCCTATTCTTCCTCCTCCCTTTTCTTCCTCTTCTTCTTCCTGCTTCTTCTACTATTCTTCTTCCTCCTCCTCTTCTTCCTTCTTCCTTCTCTTCTTCCTGCTTCTACTACTCTTCTTCCTCCTCCTCCTCCTCCTCTCCTTCCTGGTCCTCCTCCTATTCTTCTTCCTCCTCCTCTGCTTATTCCTTTTTCTTCTATCTCCTCCTCCTCTTTTTCCACCTCCTCCTCCCAACATGTAAGGGCATGAGGGTGCACCCCATATTAGATGGTTGGCGACAGCTAGTGCATTTCAGCTAGTGGAAAGCTCAGTTTCTATGATCCCCTTAAAGTTGCTGCACACTCTTAAAGCCCACCACAGGACATCCTGAAAGTAAAATTTCCATAATTAGTAATCGCTGAACCACCATGTTCCAGACATGTGCCACAGCTGCAGGACAGTCAGGAGGTTGGTGCTGTTTTCAAACATGCAGTAAATAGGGAAAAAAACGAGCGCTGGATCTGACAGATTCAAGCCGCTAGCATAAAGGTAAACCTCGTATACCCTCTTCATAGACAATAAAATACAGCAAAAAATGCAGCGCTTGAGTGTATAATAAGGGGAATTAACATATGTACAGGAGAGTTAGAAGGAAATACATTCATATTATGACATGCACCAGGTTTAACGTTCATAAATTAATGTAAACAGTGGTCAGGTAAGCAATAAATATTCATCCAACCAATCGAAGTCCTATAGTGATAGGGATATTAGAGTCATTAGATCTGGGGGTACATCCAAGTGCCAAGCAAATCCGTGACTTCAGTGATAGGAGAATAGCTGTAAAATGCACTAACCAGATAGCGCAAGTAAAAGCGCTGTCAGAAATCTAGGAGTGACCAGAAAGGTGTGGACTGACACAGGGAAACGCAGGTTTCAGGTATAGTATAATAATACAGTTTATTATTAGCCACACATATATATATATACCTTCCACTAATCTTAGTAGTGTGAAAACAGGTTTAACATTCATAAATTAATGTAAACAGTGGTCAGGTAAGCAATAAAGATTCATCCAACCAATCGAAGTGCCTATAGTGATAGGGATATTAGAGTCATTAGATCTGGGGGTACATCCAAGTGCCAAGCAAATCCGTGACAAAATCAAAGGGGATAATGTGCCCTTGCCACGAAACACGTTAGGGATAAGGATACCTCTCATACCACTTGTTATCCACTTGGTTCATGCATCTGACTGTCGGCCATCTTTTTGGATTCTGTGAATCAACTTCTTTGGACATTACCATGTAAGTGTGCTACCTGCTTTTATCAATCTCTTGAATAAAAATACTACACTATCAAGATTTCTTTCTTTTGGGTCTTATTGCCGAGTCCCTAAGATGATCTCCAATCCTGGCGATAGAGGATATAAGGCTATTTTGTGTTACTGTAAAGAGGCGCACTCCCCCTGGTGGTAGGAGACGGCAAGAGTGGTGCACTGGTGTTCCTGAGGGCTCTACGCTGATGACCATTTGGCTGTGACCAGGAGTAGGTCATTATACTCCAATGCGCTTTTACTTGCGCTATCTGGTTAGTGCATTTTACAGCTATTCTTCTATCACTGAAGTCACGGATTTGCTTAGCACTTGGATGTACCCCCAGATCTAATGACTCTAATATCCCTATCACTATAGGCATTTCGATTGGTTGGATGAATCTTTATTGCTTACCTGACCACTGTTTACATTAATTTATGAATGTTAAACCTGTTTTCAAACATGGTTTGGTTTAGCCACAGCCAGCATGGGGTCAGCCACCTCTCAGCTTGCCTGTCATCGAAGAGCCTTCACAGTGTATGGGCTAGTATGACTCCTGTCCCCCAAGCATATCAGCTGCAAAACAAGTATGGCAACATTTTGCCTGGGATGTTGCATAGGTTCTGGAGTCTTGTAGTTTTGAGCAGTGACTGCCTGAGACCATTGAGGATAAACAAAAGAGAGGTTACTGTGCTGCTGCTACTGTCACCAAAGTGCAGGGCACATGGTGGCGCTACCACCTCCAGCATTGTTTTACCATTTTGCATTCTTCCCAGCCATCATTTTATTTTGTACAGATGTGCCATGAAGGTAGTATACCATTTAAGCCCATGCTTGTGGTGTCTGTAGGCATGTGAACCCCAATGCTGCAAGCATGGTCTAGCATGAGCCAATGCATATGCTGGTAGAGGGTAGGCATAACATTGAAAAAAAATGGCATCTGAGTAATTTGCTTTTGGTTCATTACAGGTCATTATCTAGCAGAGGGGTGTAAAAAGCACAGGATCTGAATGCTAAGCTGCTAAACAGTAACTCATGGATGAGGGTGACTCTTGGGTGCTGAAGGACCTTGTTCCAACAATGAGTGCTGGCCTTTCCTACTTTTCACATTTGCTGCTCCCATCCAGCTCTTTGATGCATAGTCCTGTGTTTCCTAATGTATGTGGTACCCACACTACAGGTGCTTTTACTATGGTTGTTACAAGGCAGGCAGAGGCTGTAGACCACAATGGTGTCTTTTGAAGCTGACAAAAAAAGGCCTACACTGCAGAACTCTTTAAGCTTGATGCCTATTCAAGAGCTTGAGTACTGTCCTAAAGTCAGTTTCTAACAACATATACCTGAAGTCTTTATGTTGAATATTTTGGGAAAAACTGATCATACATGGATGAGAGAGTGGGTACAGGGAATGTGAAGTTGTGGTTTTGGTGCATTTGATATTTTATTAAAATTTTAAGAAAATGCAGTGTGCTAGTGTAATAAAAAAAGAAGTCACATTATTGTACACTGGACGGTTTGTATTTTTTCGAAGAATACAATTTCTTATAGGTTTAAAACCTCTCATTGCTGGCTGCTAATCCCATTGGTCAGTTCATGCCTATTACAGCTGGGTAAAAAAATCAGGTGTTGCATCAACAACTACCTGAAAAATCTATTTTGTTTTCATAGTTATAATAATGAATCAAGTTTGGGTTTTGCTAGTGCTATATTAAAGAAAAGCAGTAATATAAAAATAAAAAAACATGTACTCCACATGCAAATTATATGATGCCAGCAAGAGGTGTTGCTGACACTATCCAAATCATGCTCTTACTGTAATACCACATACAGCTAAAAGGATCTCCCAAGCATGTAATTACAAGGATTAGTGTTTTTCCAAGGTTGTCTTCGAAGCTGCATACAAAGAAGGACCCTCTCCCTGCTGAATTGTACTTTTTTTTTCTTTTGGTTTGGTTCATTTTCCCCAGGGCAGTGTCCAGCTCCCTATGCCTTTTGTTTAAAATCCATTACTTAGCCTTGAACATACCAGAACTAATTTTCAAAATTAACCCTTCATTGACTTCACTTGGATTCAGATTAAAGTTTGCAATTTTAAGAATTTACAATAAATTGGATGAACGGCCCATGAATCAAAGTCAAGTACATTTGCTCATCACTAGTTGATACAGCCCTATGATAGCTTTATCCAGCCCAGGAGTCATAATAAACAGATACTGATGGGTCTTATTGTTAACTTAAAAAATGGGCAGCACACTGGCTAAATGGTTAGCACTTCTACCTAGCAGTACTAGGGTCATTGGTTCAAATCCAACCCACAGTACCAGCTGGACATACTGAGTTTGTATGGTCTCCCTGTGCCTGCATCGGTTTCCTCCAGGTACTCTAGTTTCCTCTCACACTCCAAAGACATGCTGGTAGGTTAATTGGATACTGTCTCAATTGGCCCTAGTATGTGTATGAATGCAAGTTAAGGACCTTAGATTGCACACCCCTTGAGGGTTAGGGACTGATGTGAATATACAATATATATGTAAAGCACTGCATAAATTGACAGCACTATATGAGTACCTGTAATTAATAATAACCCTAAAAAAAACATTCTCTGTATATTGGGTCATAGGAGGGGATATGATTCTTGCATAACAGACAATAGAGACAGAATAGGGCTAAACTAGGAATCAATCCAAAAGTTGTGTGGTAGGGGGAACCAGAAGGCAGCTTGGACTGACCAAATGGTGTAAATTGAGTTATGGTTGGGTCACTGGATCTAAAGATTGTCCAGTTTTAACTAGGTTGTGCCTGGCTGAGTGGATTGTGTGCTTGAAAAGATAAGTATTTTATTGCCAACCATAGGTGTCAAAAACCTTTTTCTTGTTTTAGCAGATCAGTGTAAATAATTGAGCTGTCAGGGCTGGCTGGAATTAGTAGTTCCTTTCTACCATCAATTGACCTATGAGATGAAAGTATCCAATGAAAGATAGTCAGGATGACAGCAATGAGGTGTGCAGAAAACTGGAAGATCGTGATTAGAGATGAGCGAAGTATTCAAAAATTCGATTCGGCTGATTCGGCGAATTCGAGGAATAAATTTGATTCGATGCAAATATATTCGCTGCGAATTTAACTTATAAAAAGGGTTTCTAGGCTTCAGAGAGCCTTTATATTAGTGCAGAACACTGTACCTTTAATTTAAATGCCCTTGGAGTCTGCTGGGGAAGAGAAATAATATTGTCAGTCAGTATGACATGCAGATGAGTGCCGTCGATCTTAGAATCACCGCACACTTCACTCATTTGGGCAGTCACGGGGCCAAAACCAGAGTGTGGAGCCACAGTGTGGCGGTGGAGGCAGCAGCAATGGGAGGCCATACAGCACCCTATGACAAAAATGGAACCCACCAGCAGTGTGAGGAGACCTGAAAGTGGCACATGGCAGAGTGTGGCGATGGAGACAGCAGCAATGGGAGGCCGTACAGGGACCCATGACACACTCTGGACCTGGCAGCAGCATGAGGAGGCGGTACGGGGGCCCATGGCAGATTACGGGCCTGGCAGCAGCAATGGGAGGCCCGTAATCTGCCAGCACCCTATGACAAAATGGAACACACCAGCAGTGTGAGGAGACCTGAAAGTGGCACATGGCAGAGTGTGGCGATGGAGACAGCAGCAATGGGAGGCCGTACAGGGACCCATGAGACACTCTGGACCTGGCAGCAGCATGAGGAGGCGGTACGGGGGCCCATGGCAGATTACGGGCCTGGCAGCAGCAATGGGAGGCCCGTAATCTGCCAGCACCCTATGACAAAATGGAACCCACCAGCAGTGTGAGGAGACCTGAAAGTGGCACATGGCAGAGTGTGGCGATGGAGACAGCAGCAATGGGAGGCCGTACAGGGACCCATGAGACACTCTGGACCTGGCAGCAGCATGAGGAGGCGGTACAGGGGCCCATGGCAGATTACGGGCCTGGCAGCAGCAATGGGAGGCCCGTAATCTGCCAGCACCCTATGACAAAATGGAACCCCACCAGCAGTGTGAGGAGGAACCTGAAAGTGGCACATGGCAGAGTGTGGCGATGGAGACAGCAGCAATGGGAGGCCGTACAGGGACCCATGAGATCTGCCAGCACTCTGGACCTGGCAGCAGCATGAGGAGGCGGTACGGGGGCCCATGGCAGATTACGGGCCTGGCAGCAGCAATGGGAGGCCCGTAATCTGCCAGCACCCTATGACAAAATGGAACCCACCAGCAGTGTGAGGAGACCTGAAAGTGGCACATGGCAGAGTGTGGCGATGGAGACAGCAGCAATGGGAGGCCGTACAGGGACCCATGAGACACTCTGGACCTGGCAGCAGCATGAGGAGGCGGTACGGGGGCCCATGGCAGATTACGGGCCTGGCAGCAGCAATGGGAGGCCCGTAATCTGCCAGCACCCTATGACAAAATGGAACACACAGCAGTGTGAGGAGACCTGAAAGTGGCACATGGCAGAGTGTGGCGATGGAGACAGCAGCAATGGGAGGCCGTACAGGGACCCATGAGAACTCTGGACCTGGCAGCAGCAAGAGGAGGAGGCGGTACAGGGGCCCATGGCAGATTACACGGGCCTGGCACTCAGCAATGGGAGGCAGAGTGGCCCGTAAATAAATTGCCAGCAGGCCTATGACAAAATAATAACATGTTTGGGGCATGATTCATGGCGGATTTAGTCAGTTGTGTCAGGACCTGAAAGTTTGAAATCCAGACTAATCCACGCCTGATTCATGGGAGGCCGTACAGGGACCCACTCACAAAACGTGAGTCTCTCCACACTTTGGGTGGACAGTCGTGTCCTCCGCGGAGTTACAATACCTCCTGCCGCACTAAAACACGCGCTCCGATGCCACGCTACTGGCGGGCATGACAGCCTTTCAAGGGCAAATTCAGCTAGTTGGGGCCAAACGTCAAGTTTCGTTGCCCAGTAGTCAAGGGGATTGTCTACCTCGGTTGGCAGGGTGCTGTCCAAGTAGGCCCGAGCTGTGTTTGAGGTCCTGCTCCAGGGCACCTGATGCTGCTGCTGCTGTGGCTGGTTAGTAGTTTCAGCACTGCGCTGGGAAGAAAGCGTACATCATCGACTGCAGACTGAGGCAGCTGCTGCTGGGGAGCTGCCACTGGCTACCACCCCCCACCCCTCCCCTGCTGCCATGGCAGCGGAATCTGCCGCGACCCTATGCACAGGGTCCACCACAGTGTCTGAGGATGGACGTTGGCGCAGAAAGGCAGAGACCAACTGCCTACATAGGTGGTTTTTATAGTACGTTATTTTGGCCTCCCTCTCAGCAGGTGTGCAAAAAGGCCACCATTTTTGAACGGTAGCGAGGGTCCAACAAGGTGGACAGCCAAAAGTCATCCCTCTGTCTGATGGTTATTATTCGGCTGTCGCTACGCAAGCAACCGAGGATGCTACGGGGGCCATTTGTGCCAAGGAATGCGAGGGACTCCCTGCCTCCATCTCCACAGCATATGCCACGGTGAGTCTGGGTCCTCTGTCTCCTCCTCCTCCTCCTCTACCAGATGCTCCTGCTCCTCCACTCCTGTCCGCTGAGTGGAAAAACCACCCATTTCACTCAATAATTCCTGAGCAGCCAATGTCCTCCTCTACCTCCTCCTCTTCTTCCTGTCCTGCCCCCACATGGGGTCATGTGGCGTTGAGATCTGTGCGCCACGTCTACCGCACCCTGACCAGCCATTGTTAACAGCATTTGTTCCAGGACGTGCAACAGAGGAATGACGTCGTTCATCCCATAGTCCTGCCGACTCACGAATAGCGTGGCCTCCTCAAAGGGCCTGAGCAAGCGGCAGGTGTCACGCATGAGCTGCCAATGGCTGACATCTAAGTTACACAGGGGAGTACCTTTATCCGCTTGTAACATCAGGAAATCGGTGATGGCCTTTCGCTGTTCGTAAAGGCGGTTAACATATGTAGGGTTGAATTTCCACCTTGTTGCAACGTCACAGCATGAGGAGTCGGTACGGGGGCCCATGGCAGATTACGGGCCTGGCAGCAGCAATGGGAGGCCCGTAATCTGCCAGCACCCTATGACAAAATGGAACACACCAGCAGTGTGAGGAGACCTGAAAGTGGCACATGGCAGAGTGTGGCGATGGAGACAGCAGCAATGGGAGGCCGTACAGGGACCCATGAGAGACTCTCTGGACCTGGCAGCAGCATGAGGAGGCGGTACGGGGGCCCATGGCAGATTACGGGCTGGCAGCAGCAATGGGAGGCCCGTAATCTGCCAGCACCCTATGACAAAATGGAACCCACCAGCAGTGTGAGGAGACCTGAAAGTGGCACATGGCAGAGTGTGGCGATGGAGACAGCAGCAATGGGAGGCCGTACAGGGACCCATGAGACACTCTGGACCTGGCAGCAGCATGAGGAGGCGGTACGGGGGCCCATGGCAGATTACGGGCCTGGCAGCAGCAATGGGAGGCCCGTAATCTGCCAGCACCCTATGACAAAATGGAACACACCAGCAGTGTGAGGAGACCTGAAAGTGGCACATGGCAGAGTGTGGCGATGGAGACAGCAGCAATGGGAGGCCGTACAGGGACCCATGAGAGACTCTGGACCTGGCAGCAGCATGAGGAGGCGGTACGGGGGCCCATGGCAGATTACGGGCCTGGCAGCAGCAATGGGAGGCCCGTAATCTGCCAGCACCCTATGACAAAATGGAACACACCAGCAGTGTGAGGAGACCTGAAAGTGGCACATGGCAGAGTGTGGCGATGGAGACAGCAGCAATGGGAGGCCGTACAGGGACCCATGAGAGACTCTACTGGCAGCAGCAGCATGAGGAGGCGGTACAGGGGCCCATGGCAGATTACGGGCCTGGCAGCAGCAATGGGAGGCCCGTAATCTGCCAGCACCCTATGACAAAATGGAACACACCAGCAGTGTGAGGAGACCTGAAAGTGGCACATGGCAGAGTGTGGCGATGGAGACAGCAGCAATGGGAGGCCGTACAGGGACCCATGAGAGACTCTGGACCTGGCAGCAGCATGAGGAGGCGGTACGGGGGCCCATGGCAGATTACGGGCCTGGCAGCAGCAATGGGAGGCCCGTAATCTGCCAGCACCCTATGACAAAATGGAAACACACCAGCAGTGTGAGGAGACCTGAAAGTGGCACATGGCAGAGTGTGGCGATGGAGACAGCAGCAATGGGAGGCCGTACAGGGACCCATGAGACACTCTGGACCTGGCAGCAGCATGAGGAGGCGGAGGGCGGTACGGGGGCCCATGGCAGATTACGGGCCTGGCAGCAGCAATGGGAGGCCCGTCTGCCAGCACCCTATGACAAAATGGAACACACCAGCAGTGTGAGGAGACCTGAAAGTGGCACATGGCAGAGTGTGGCGATGGAGACAGCAGCAATGGGAGGCCGTACAGGGACCCATGAGAGACTCTGGACCTGGCAGCAGCATGAGGAGGCGGTACGGGGGCCCATGGCAGATTACGGGCCTGGCAGCAGCAATGGGAGGCCCGTAATCTGCCAGCACCCTATGACAAAATGGAACACACCAGCAGTGTGAGGAGACCTGAAAGTGGCACATGGCAGAGTGTGGCGATGGAGACAGCAGCAATGGGAGGCCGTACAGGGACCCATGAGAGACTCTGGACCTGGCAGCAGCATGAGGAGGCGGTACGGGGGCCCATGGCAGATTACAGGCCTGGGCAGCAGCAATGGGAGGCCCGTAATCTGCCAGCACCCTATGACAAAATGGAACACACCAGCAGTGTGAGGAGACCTGAAAGTGGCACATGGCAGAGTGTGGCGATGGAGACAGCAGCAATGGGAGGCCGTACAGGGACCCATGAGAGACTCTGGACCTGGCAGCAGCATGAGGAGGCGGTACGGGGGCCCATGGCAGATTACGGGCCTGGCAGCAGCAATGGGAGGCCCGTAATCTGCCAGCACCCTATGACAAAATGGAACACACCAGCAGTGTGAGGAGACCTGAAAGTGGCACATGGCAGAGTGTGGCGATGGAGACAGCAGCAATGGGAGGCCGTACAGGGACCCATGAGAGACTCTGGACCTGGCAGCAGCATGAGGAGGCGGTACGGGGGCCCATGGCAGATTACGGGCCTGGCAGCAGCAATGGGAGGCCCGTAATCTGCCAGCACCCTATGACAAAATGGAAACACACCAGCAGTGTGAGGAGACCTGAAAGTGGCACATGGCAGAGTGTGGCGATGGAGACAGCAGCAATGGGAGGCCGTACAGGGACCCATGAGAGACTCTGGACCTGGCAGCAGCATGAGGAGGCGGTACAGGGGCCCATGGCAGATTAGGGGCCTGGCAGCAGCAATGGGAGGCCCGTAATCTGCCAGCACCCCTATGAAAAATGGAACACACCAGCAGTGTGAGGAGACCTGAAAGTGGCACATGGCAGAGTGTGGCGATGGAGACAGCAGCAATGGGAGGCCGTACAGGGACCCATGAGACACTCTGGACCTGGCAGCAGCATGAGGAGGCGGTACGGGGGCCCATGGCAGATTACGGGCCTGCAGCAGCAGCAATGGGAGGCCCGTAATCTGCCAGCACCCTATGACAAAATGGAACACACCAGCAGTGTGAGGAGACCTGAAAGTGGCACATGTTTGGGGCATGATTCATGGCGGATTTAGTCAGTTGTGTCAGGAACTGGTGGTTTGAAATCCAGACTAATCCACGCCTGATTCATTTTCACAAACGTGAGTCTCTCCACACTTTGGGTGGACAGTCGTGTCCTCCGCGGAGTTACAATACCTCCTGCCGCACTAAACACGCGCTCCGATGCCACGCTACTGGCCGGGCATGACAGCCTTTCAAGGGCAAATTCAGCTAGTTGGGGCCAAAGGTCAAGTTTCGTTGCCCAGTAGTCAAGGGGATTGTCTACCTCGGTTGGCAGGGTGCTGTCCAAG